TCATCTTTATGAGAGAATCCCATGCGGTGCTCCATAGGGATGAACTTGTGATGGTTTCTTGCACAGAATGGTCTGCTTGGTCTCAACCTTGCATGGTATTTTTCGTTTTTTAGAAAATCTGCTAAGAAGCAACATGTCTCCCAGAGGTTTTGGGTAAGAACTCCTAGAATTCCTCACCTGGAGGTGCCAGGGTTAGGAGTTGGTGCCTCGGGAGCTCATGGTATCCCTGTAGCTCCATAGCTGGAGGATTCTTCAGCTTTGTGGAGTTGCAGATTCTACACTATCATTGTGCTCCCTGGCTGTGTTGGACTCATTTGTTCTCCTGCAAATAATAAAAAAGCTTTTATGTACAGCACCACAGCATTCAGGACTCAGTTCTACCAAGGTTTGGGGATGCCGTTCCAATCCTGCAAGGTGCTTTTTCACTTGAACCTCATTAATAGGTCTGCTACGGCGCACAGAGCCATCTTTTCCAAGCTGGCGTCCTGCAAATGTGTCCAATTCCCTTCATTCCCACCTGGCTAGAAATGACGGGAATGGCAGTCCAACTATCTGGAAGGGTCCAGTTAAGGGACAGTGAGTGTTGGATGTCCTCAGGTCATTTGGCAATGCAGCTCACGGGATGAACATGGACTGGCCACAATGTCTTGGGCTCATCTACCTTGTAAGGCTCTTGAGAGGACAGAAGGGGTGGGGTGGGGAGCTATGTATACTGCCCTGGCCCCTTGGAGGAAGGATTTGCCATAAGGGTGATAAATTCAGCAATTTTCTCCAATAACCTCGGAGGAATACTGTTACACTTGGAATTAGGATGGCTAAGTCAATGCGCTATGGAATATCTGTATTGAACAGCTGTAATTTTTTTGCATAACCATGGCAGGGAGCTGAGGTGTTCTGGAAAAAAGACATCCATGATGTCCCCGGGAATAAATAAATAAACCGTGATCTTTGGAAATATGTTGTGTAAGGCAGAAAGCCCTGTTTGATCGGGCCAGTCTTCTCACAGTGGCCAGCAAAGAGCCTTTGCAAAACCCCCTTTCAGGAAAACAGCATTCTCCCCAAATCCTTGCCCTGGATACCTGGTGTTCCATAGTAGATGTCCTCTGAACACAGGAGACACATAATGACGTTCCCTTCAAGATGAGCATGGTGGCACCAGTAGGTACAGCTTGCCTAGAATTTATCAATGAATTGGCACCCCACCTTTCTGATCACTAAAATGGCATTTCATCAATAAAACCAACTAATAATAATTTGATCAGTAAAGCTAGCTAAAAAGTTTGCACTTTTACCAAAAGTCACAAGAAACTGGGCCTGGCAAGTCTGGGAGTCCCAGAGATGGTCAAGAGAAGCCTCTGATATGTTGAACTATCAATTTGCATTGAACTCTGAGCTGGAGATAAGCCCCTCTGAAATCAATAGGACTCAGTTTTCAGTAGGCATGTCTCAAATGTCTCAGATTACAGGGCCAGGGGTTAAAATTTCAAACTGGAATTGTGACAAGAAACTAAATGACACATTAAGGGTGCAATCCCATGCAAGTTTGGACAGAAAAAGTCTTATGACATGCCACATTCCCCAGCTGACTTTTTAATGTCTAAAGATGCATCGGGTTAACAGATTTGTAAACTACTGATGGTGTTTTGCTGGGCAAGCAGAGAAAAGCTCTTAAGAGTAAGGATGTCTGGATTGGGCCTTTGGGTGCTACTAAACTTGGTTTTCTGATCTCTCCACTACAGAATTGGTGCAATAACATTTAGCCTGTAGCATCATTCAGTACAGGGTAAATTGTACTATACTTCAGTGTGATTCCTAAGGAAGTTGAATGTACAGTGGAAAGATGTGACATCCTGTGACCTGCAAAGCAAGATTTCTTAGGTGGCACACTCCCCATGAGGAGACCCTCTTTGAAAAATTGTGTTCCTGCAAATCTCCCATCCGAATCCAGCTCCTGGAGGCCTGGCTGACACTCAGACTTCTGTTGCACTGCAGACATGGCTGTGTAGGAAGAAATTCTTCAGGATGAATTCTGTGGGCAAGCTGAGCACCTGCTGCCCAAAGTCAAGTACCACTTCCTCACAGCTTTGAACTGGGCATCAAATGCCTTCTTGACCCCCCTGATATATCCATCTGGCAGAATCTACAGAATGTGAGCAAAATTAATCCAGAAGTTATACATTGGAAGGAAATTGTATGGATGCTACTCCAAGTGCCTCACCCGGCGTCTTGTTGCTAATTGCAGTGCTGTTGGATGCCCTTGACAACTACAGTGTGACAAAATTAATCAGTCTGCGGACTATGGGATGTGTGATACTCATTCATTCCATAGCCCTTATGTGTACACTTATGCTTTCCTGCAAAACTGCAGCCTCATTAGCTAGAGCTTCCTTAATTCCTCAGAAGCTCTATGGCAATCCTCCAGGATTATACTATGACAAAAAATTTAGACACCATTCAGACCTTAAACAATATACCAAGCAATCCTTACATGTCTACACAGAAATAAATCCTACCTGAATGTATTCCTGGGTAACTGAGTATAACTTTATAGTCTCAAAGTTCGGTCGATTTCAATAGGAGAGACCTGAGCAAATGTTTTAACTTCTGCACTAAAATCAAAAGGACTAGAGCATTTCATAAGTGTAGCTCAGAGGTGGGGCTAGGTAGAAAAAACATCCCGAGATCAGGCCTACAGGAAAATCCAAGAACCATGTGCTAGTCTCTCTGTGCCCTCAAGTCTCTCTCTGTGGACACCCCCTATTTGTGAAATGCCTCTATTTGTAAAAAGGGGGCGCATGGACAAGTGAGAGGCTTTTGATTTCAGAAAACAAGCTCAGTCAGTAAGATAAATGCAAGTTAATGCAACAAAGACCATCAAGGCCTCGACACCTTTATTCTGGAGTGGACCATGCATGAGAAGCCCTTGGACGGCAGGGTGGTGAAGCAGACGGCCTCCCAGAGACTCAGGGTTGGAGCCCCAGAAGGCACTACCTTCTGCAGTACCACCTCAGCCCCAAGAATGAGCAGCAGCATTTCCGCACATGCATCCTATTCTCTGAGATGATCACTGTAAATCATGTGTCTGTCACTGTCAGCCTTTCCGGTTTCACTGTTTATGATTCTCTCCCCCTCAACCCTGGTATGTCAGCCTGAGACTCGCCTTAATTTTCCATACCTCTGATGAAGTGGGCTAAAGTCTATAAAAGCTTATGCCAGAATAAATTAGTTAGCCTTCCAGGTACAACAAGTCCCTTTGCTATTGCTGTTACGAAAGACTAATACCACCACCCTCCTTGGAATACAGTTAATAGTAGTACTTAGCACTTCAGATTGTTTGGAAGTCTTCACACTCAGTCTCCCCAAGTAGATTAGTGCTTTGATTTTTTAGACAAGGGAGTTGAGGCAAAGTACAGCTTCCCTAGGAGACTCCTGGGAAAAATGAGGGACTTTTTAGCTTACAGCTCCAAGCCGCATTCTTGTCCAGGAGAAAGTCCCTCCGAGTATAACATCCAGCCTGAAGAAGAGTTCTGATGAAGCGAAGACTTTGCTCATTACAAAATGCGTTTGTGGCTTTTTTTGGAGCGGGAGGGGTTGTACTGCCACCAGCTTTCATCTTGGTTCTTACTTTTATTGTTTTAAGCACTGTTTTTAAGATTAGGGTTTTCTGTGTTTTTGTATTCTGTGGTTTTCAGTTTCGTTTTGTGAAGCACCCAGCAACCTCTGGCTATGGGGTGGCAGAGGAATGTCATAGGCAGTTCTTCAGCCTTTCCAGCTGGGTCCTCGTAGCCCTCCCACCCCGCTCTGGCAAGGGCAGCGTGATGGCCTCCAAAGCTTCAGCACAGCCGAGCGAGCGTGGGGAGGCCTGGGAGACACCTCGCCTGTGCAACTGGGGCTTGCAAAGAAGGCCCGACACGCTTTCGCGCGGGCAGGTGCGGGGACGAGCGGCCGCCTACTTTTAAGACATCCTGCGAGGCGTCCGGTTCAATGGAGGAGGCCAAATGCATCATCCGCGGCAGCATCTCGGAACTGCCAGTGACAGAACAGGGGCTTGCGCGGGTGCGCGGACTGCCACCCATCCGTCTCAGGATGACTGCGCACGTAATTGGAGTGAGCATTTTCCCATTGTCAAACCGAACTACTAACCGTGCAGTGTCCAGTGACCGCTCTTGCAAGGCCATTCTATTTTTTTAATATTTTACTTCCACGGTGGTGGTGGTGGTGATGATGATGATGATGATTAGGACCAGCCTTGGGGACTTCCGGTAGGTCTTTTCAGCTTCATTCCTTCCCTCCTCCTCGTTTCCCCGTCCTCCCCTCCTGGCGCAACCTCGCTTCGCCTCCCCAGACTTCAGGAATTAAAGGGGAAAAAAACTGCTCTCAGAAACCCGATGCCTCCTTTTGCGCAATACAATCGCTGGGCTTTTTTTTTTTTTTTAAGAAAAAGCGACAGGGTGTCTAGACGCCCACGTGACAAAAGGCGCGCGGGGGGGCTGGGCAGGGCAGCGGCGCTGCGCACTCGGGAAGCCACCGAGGCAGGCGAGGCCGCGGGGGAGGAGGAGGAGGAGGAGGCTGGCGCGGGCCGCCCGGCTAGCCGGAGAGGAGGGCGCGGGGCGACACCGCGAGACCCCCGCAGCCCGGCGGCAGAGGCGCAGCGGGGCTCTCCCGGGAGGCCCTCTCCATCCTCGTGGTGCGCTCGCCCTGCGTCGTATTCCTGTATCCGAAAGAAAAGACATTAAAAGAAAGAAAGAAGAGCGAGCGAGCGAGCGAGCAAGCATCGGGCATCCTCGGAGATCTGTCCTCCGCTCCCCGAGGAAAAAAGAGAGAAAAAAGGGGGAGGGCGCAGGGAGGGAGAGGGAAGGCGAGCAACCTCTCCTGCGCTGGGAAAGGAAGAAGGGAGTGGAAAAAGGGAGGGAGGGAGCGGGCGGGGGGGAGGGAGGGAAGTCAAGCACAGCAAAGCCCAAACCAAAGCAAACAACAACAAGAAAGCCCAGGCGAAAGGAACGGGCCTGGAGTCTCCCCCTTCTCGCTCGCCGCTCGGTGTGTGTCTGTGCGCGCGCGCGCGTGTCTGTGCGCGTGTGCGCGGAGAGAAACGATGCAGAAACTGGAAGGAGGAGGCGCAAGAGGAGGACGGCCAACTGCACACCCAGCCGCCGGAGGAAGGAGCTAAGAGCTGCATTGCTCGAGAGACGGAGGGGCTGGCGACCTTTGCAGCGCCTGTCATTCCAAGATCAGCCACGCTCCCTTCTCGCCGGTCCTGCTCGTTCTTTGTATTATTATTATTATTATTATTATTATTATTATTATTGTTCGTGATTCCGGACTCCCTTCGCCTCCCCCGCACAAAGCAAAAGGGGCGAAAAGGGGCACTGGGTGGCGAGAGCGTGAAGGAAGAACTTTGGTTACGCGTCGCGCAACTCTCGGCTCGGGAAAAGGAGACCAGCCGGCAGCCCCGGAGGCCGGCCAGGCAGGAGCCGCCGAAAGATCAAAGCGCTTGAGGCAGGGCGAGACAGACGCCTCCTGGGAGCGACCGGAGCAAGGTGCCGGGGCTGCGCCGAGCGCACGGGGATCGGCTTGCCTAGGGCTTCCCCGGGAAGACGGGAGCAGAACGCCCGGCCAGAACGAAGCGAAGCTTTGGAGAGGGGGCCTTGGATACCTCGCTTTTATGCCTCTGGTTTCTTTTTTGCTTCCTTGAACTCCGTTTTTCCCCCCTTCCTGCAACACGTCCATATCCACCGTCTCCGCCACAACCTCTCCTTGTGGCTGGAGCAGCCCACCGCCTTTCTAAATACAATTCCACCCTCCCCCGCGCCTGAGCCTTTCGGCAGGATTGAGCACCTACTTTTGATCGCGAAGGGTCTAAACTCGTGTGCCTTTGGGCTTTTGCAATATTTTGTCGGAGGGGGAATTTAGGGGGGGAAGCCCTCGCTCTCACACGCAGTCTGACCGTTTGAACCACCCTCGAAGAAAATATTTCCACATCCAGTGTTTTTTGGGGGGGGGGTATTACTCTCTTCTCCCTCCCTCTTTTGCTGCACGGATTTTTTTCCTTCGTGTGTGGGGGGGAGAAAACCCACTCGCTTCCTTTAAATAAACTGCAGGAATTCTCCCCCCCCCCGCGTTGTGGATTTAGAAGGATTTTTGAAGAGGGAGACGAGCGAAGGGGAGCCTGAGGGGAATTAAAGCCCGAGCCTTTTAAGAGACTGGCGTATGCTTCAGCTTACTTTGGCTGTTTCTCCGCCGCCCCCAGAAGCAGCCTCAGCCGCGCGGCCGCCGCCGCCAGCTCCGCCATCAGGGTCCGTCCTCTGCTCCCGCTTCGTCCCAATCATTTCAGGCTGCTTATACTGGCTGCCTGGACTCGGATCCCGGATTCTTCATGAGTTGCGGACGACATGCCCGTTTTTTAGCCGGGGAATCTTATTCTCGTCCCGCATGTTCAGGACCAAACGATCGGTGCTCGTCCGACGACTCTGGCGGAGCCGCGCGCCCGGCGGGGAGGAGGAAGGCGGAGAACTTGGAGAGGGAGCCGCGGACAGCCGGGCGCATGGGGCCGGAGGCGGCGGCGGCGGCGGCGGCGGAGGGAGCCGGGGCTGCTGCATGGGCAAGTCGGGGAAACTCGCCAAGGCGCACATCGGATCGGAGGCTGAACTGAAGGCGCTGACCCACTCGGTGCTGAAGAGGCTGAAGGAGAAGCACTTGGAAGGGCTCCTGCAAGCCGTGGAGTCCCGGGGCGGCGCCCGGACCGCGTGCCTCCTGTTGCCCAGCAAGGTGGACTCCAGGCTGGGCCAGCACTGGTACTCCCTCCCGCTGCTGCTGTGTAAAGTCTTTCGGTGGCCCGATCTCAGGCACTGCTCGGAAGTCAAGCGGTTATGTTGCTGTGAATCCTATGGGAAAGCTCACCCGGATTTGGTCTGCTGCAATCCGTATCACCTCAGCAGGCTCTGCGAGCTAGGTAGGCGCAAACTTTATTTCCCACCCGCCTCCTCCGAGCCCAGAGAAGGGCAGACTCGCGTCCTGCGGTGCATCGTGCGCAGGCCCACGTCTTGCACGTCCAGCAAAACGGGGCGGGGGGTGAGGTTAGGCCTTCCAGTCCGGCGCCGTCACTTTGGGGTGGCCCTGGCTGTAGGTTTGCGGGCAGCCCGTTGCACGGGCGACTTCCACCCTGCGTGTTCCGCTGGGAAATGCGTCGGTCTCGGTCGAAGGGCCAAACGATGCAAGACATCAGCGCCTGCACCTGTCAGTTACAGTCTTGTGGCAGAGTTCTGAAGTTCTGACACCCCGAAAGTGAGACTTCCCATGTAGGTCTGCATGCTATTTCCCGATTGAGGCAGGTAAATAAAAACAAGCTGCACTTTCCAGGGAGAGTTTTAATTTTAGCTTTAAAAGTCCGCGGGGGGAGTTTTGTTTGACACAAACATGGGACAGCACATCTTTTGCAAACCTGCTCAATTCTGCGTGTTTGTGTGCGTTTTGAGTTCTGTGCATCTACACTTAAGGGTAGTGGGCCAGTGAAAGAAGCGTCCAACCTGATGTTAGAATGCTTTTCTGCAAAGATTTTTTTCCTCGGCGGAGGGCATTCTTGTAAGGTATCAGGATCGTGCAGCCCAGTGCTCTCAAATGACTATCCACGTAGTTGTTGCATTAAGCAAAGAAGTTGTAGTGCACAGTGTATGATTAAAAAAAAAAAAAAGCTCCGCTTGGTTTTGGAAAAGCCGTCTCTGATCTTTTGTTTTAATATATGGATCTCCAGCCAGCCTGAGGTTTGCAGAAGGAATGCAGCGCCTGGCCAACTAGTTGTTCTCACAGTTTTCCCACTCAGCCCTCCTTCGCCTGTATAATATAAAAGAACAGATAATTTACAGGCAGCGGTTTGCAGTCTCGGTTCCTTCCCTCCTCTGGGCAAGCAGCCTCTGGTTTCCAAATTGGGAGGGGGGGGGAGGAAGGGAGAAGGAATCTCGTACAACATGCTTGAAATTGTCGCTGCAGACTTTTTTAAAAAAGTCCCCACTCTGTATTGGAAGTTGGAGTAAGCGAGCGAGCTGCCTTGATAGACTTTAAGCCCCTGTGCGCACTCCCCTGGCTGACCAGCAAAGCTGAATTCTGTACTGCCCCCTCCCCGCCCTTCCCTCCCCCTCCCAAAATCGCGAGCAAACTTTGGCATAGTCTGGTGCCTTCAGAAAGCCGCCCAGCGCGCGGGGGTGGGGGGGGGCGAGGAGGGGAGGGGAGGGGAGGGGGCTTCTGTGGGAGGAAGATGCGAGTTTGCACCCCGCTTCGCCGGGTGCGCCTGGGTTTCTGCAAACGCGAGAGGCTCACGCCGCTGGCTGGCCTGGGATTATCAGGGAGCCGGGATCAAGTCGGTGATTCCCAGAGCTGGAGTGCTCAGCCCAGCCAGAGAGGCCCCGGTCGAGACAGCCAGCCAGAGAAGCAGATAGCGGGAGAGAATGGCGCCAGCCGGGGCCGTTGTTTATCTGACAGTTAAATATCAAGGCAATCGCCGCCCGGTTTGCCCTGCCTCCAACCCCCAGAGCTAAGACAAACAGTTTTGCTTCAAGAATGCTACTGTTATCATAAGTTCCTATCTTTCCTTTCCTTTCCTTTTTTAAAAAAATCTCCCTCTCTTCTCATGGCTCTGCTTTTATTTTCTCTGTATTTTTCTAATTTCAGAGTCTCCTCCTCCACCCTACTCCAGATACCCAATGGATTTTCTCAAACCCACTGGTAAGTCGGCTGCTTTTACACAAACCAAACTTTGGGGTTGGGAAACTTGAGAACTGAGCTTTTCTGGGAAATTACTCGTTCTTGTCCTTTTGTGTTATAATTGAAGCTGCTGCTTTCTTGGGCTTTTTCAGCTCTTATTTGTTGTCAGCTTTTGTGACATTCCTGCACAGTTAATCATGAGCAATTCTCATTAAGATAAGTGGGATTTAGTTCTGAATAAGTGTGGACTCTGGGATTTTCACCTTTGTTTTTAAACCCTATCAAACTCTGCAAATCCTGCTGCTGAATTTATACTGCTGCCTTCCTTACTTTTGAACAGAAGTTCCTTCAGGGCTTACTTCCATTCTGATTGAGAAGTAAATACATTTGTGCATAATCCAAAACAAGAAGTTCTTGGATATGGATAAAACAAGCAAGTGATCCTCACCTGCTTTTGTGCATATTTACTCAGAAAGGAGATCAACTGAGTTCAATAAGATGGACATCCATGTTAAGTGTGCACAGGCTTTTAGCCCCAAACTTCCAACCTCTTTCTTAAAAAACAAAGCAAAGCAAATTTTACATCTGTTAAAATATAAAACCCTATTTCCATCATAAATGGAAAACAGATTGCATACATCGTGCCTCTGATGTTAACGAGGAGTGGCAAAAAAGAGCATGGCAACACCATTTATGTTTAATTGATGAATAATGGAAGAAATGGATTTTGGGTACAACTGGTTTTTCTCAAATCTTCTGTTCCGAATTTGATGTTAGTTATTTTTACAGCCTCCTGTTGTTTAACACAAATGGGATATAAAGAAAAAATATGAAGAGACACATAGATGTTTTTAGCACAGCTCTCTCTGCATGCTTGTTGGTTGTAATCGAGTGGCACAGAGCCAGGGCAGAAGCCCGTTCAAGTCTGGCACCAAGTGCTGTTGCGGTTGTCTGCATAAACTTTTGGCTGGCAGGAGCCTCACCCTCTGCTAGATAAATAGGTTGGCACTGTGGAAGAGAGAAGAGGCTGAGGGAACATGGGAACATGGATGAAAGGGAGGGGGAGGCAGATAGCATTCCAGAAAGCTTCTTTATATCTCTCCAGAAGATTAATGAACCAAATCAGACTGCGGAGTGGTTGTCCGGATCAATTATATCCTGGTATCAGGCAAGTCAGTAAGGATGTGCCCCTGTGCGTGCTTAGACAGAAATACCTCCTACGACTCCCAGCATTCCCCAGCAGGCTGAACTGGCTGGGGAATGCTGGGAATTGTAGGATCTTTTCTGCCTAAGCATGCATAGGGTTGCACCCTAAGCACGTGCTGCTTAAAATAGACTTCTTTGTAAAGGATCAAGTTAAAGCTACAACAAAACTCTCCCATCCCCTATTACCCTTCCCCTCCCAGGGAAAAAACCTAATTAATTGCTCAGATTCAAACTTGGGGCCCTGAAAGCTAACAGTTTCTCTTTCTGAAAGTTTAGCCAATCTTCCGTACTTCCTTAGACTTTAAGATCCTGGCAGGCAAATAACTTTGTAGCAAGAACTGGCATGAAGTAGATGCAACTATGAATCAAGAAGCCCTTGATTTGAAAAATTGCCTCTGCCATGAATTCACTTGGAGGCCTTTTAGGCAAACGGTGTTCACTTGACCTCAGTCTCCCTATTTTGTAGCATGGGAACAAATAGTACTAACTTCCCTTACATGACTATAGATAAATCATATTTACAAAGCATTTGGATCCCTTGACTGTGCTGGACAGGTGTAAAGTAGAAGCAACTATAATTTGTTCAGGTATTGCAAGAGGCTGGGCACATCTGTACCCATGATCCTGAACTGAACTGCCATGATCCTGGTATTTCTCCCAGGCTGTATTCCACTGCAGCAGGTAGATGTAACTGAGCACAGGGGATCTTCTTGCTTCTGAGTATACATGCTGAAGACTGTGCTGCGTGAGATGCCTCTAACCTTACCAGCATTTGCTTGCAAGGAGCCCCCCTCCCCCCCACCCCGTAGCACATGTTAGTGATACAGGTTCATGACTTGTGCAGACAGGCAAAGTTGTCTATTAAGTGAATGGGGTTGCAAGAAGTAAATGCTCTTAATACAGAATAATATTAAAGTGATCGCTTTACAGTTCTCATAGCATACTGTTTATGAGTTGCTTTAACCTTGGACAGGCAATAGTGAATTCTTACAGACATGCAGCAGTCCAAGGATAACCAAGGGTCTGGTAGCAGCTTAAAGGCTCACTCATTTACTCTGGCATAAGCTTTTATGGGCACTGCCCACTGCATCCGATGTACAGTCTGATGAAGTAGGGAATGTCCACAAAAGCTTGTGCCAGAAGCCGTCGGCTAGTTAAGATACCACAAGGTTCTTTGTTGGTTTTGGTGCAACAACGCAGGTCCTTGGGAAGGTGCAGGATGCTACAATACCGTTAATAACAAGCTTCCAACCTGTCACTTTGTGGGCTGACCAAGAACCATTCCCAGGATGGGGTTACATAAGGAACGGCGGCTTTTCTTGATGGCTGAGTTCCCTTGTGGGCAAACAGCAGGTGCTGCCCCCACCTGAATGGCATCCTCAAAGGTGCCCTTTCATTTCCCTGCCTATAAGGAAACGTGTGACTTGAATTCCTATGACAAAAGAGGAAGCACCTGCCCACAGCCTTGGCATTGAAGACCTCTTCATACCCTCCCAGTGTTGCGCGCTGGCAGTGCTTTGCTGGATCTTTCGCTGAGCTTTGCGGCCTGCATGGACAGCCCAATCCAGCCCGGCTGGATGAAACCAAAGATCCACCAAATGCACCATTCTATTCATACAGTGGCCATCCAGCTGCCTACAACCTCCTTCTGACATTAGAAGTAGCACAGAGCCATGAGGACTAGAAGTCATTGTAGCCTTCTCCAACATTAATTGGTCTAATCTTCTTTCAAAGACCTTCAAATGGTGACCATCCCTGCTTCTTGTGGTAGTGAATTCCAGTGAACTTGAACTTGAGAGACCTCAATTCAGATGAGTGATTACTGAATTGAATCCTTGGTTTCCCTCTTTGTAACACCAGTGACTCATCCTGTTTTTCAGGTCAATATTATTTCCAGCTCATATCAATGCAACTGGGCGGTTCTGCCCTTGAGTTTGCAAAAACAGAGCAAAGGAAGGTGTGTGGAAGGGAATGGATTCCAGGGTCCTTGCTGGTGCCCTGGCTTGGAGAGGTACTGCAGTGGACTTGGTCTCCCTTGTTCCTCCAGTTAGGGGATGGATACAGAATAGATCAGGATCTACTGGTAGATCTCTGGTAGACTGAAAAGCTGTTGCAGAGAGGAAGGATAGCTTCTCCTCTTGATCACCGCAGAGTTCAGGACATGGAATAATAGGCTTACATTACAGGAAGCCAGATTCAGGCTAACTATCAGGAGAAAATTCCTGACAGCTTGAGCAATATGACAAGCTAGGGAGGTGGTGGGCTCTCCCACACTGGAGGCATTCAAGATGCAACTGGACAGCCCTCTGAGAGGGGTGGTTTTGCTGGGAGTCCTGCTCTGAACAGGGGACTGGACCTGAAGGCCCTCTGGCCCCTTCCAACTCTACTATTCTACCCAGTTGTGTATAAAAGCAGCTCCCTTCCTCACTGCTATCCTGGGTGCTACAGTCAAGAAAACTTGAGTGGCTGCAACCAGGAAGGGCTCTTGGAGTAAATGGACCGTGAGCTTAGTCTGATATGCACTCCGAGGTGCCTCACTGCACAGTGGCAGGAATGTGTCTGCCTCTCTTTTGGAGCCCCTGTTTAATGTGGTCCCAGTTGGTGGATCTTGGGATACCTGGCAAGGAAAGCCCAACTAGATTCTGCTGAGTTGTGGCCACCTGCTGGTCATCACTTCCTTAGTCCAAGGACAACCGGAGCAGAGTGTTCTTCAGGGCAAGGAATGAGGAAGCCGCTCCTGGAAACTTCTCCAGCTGAAGGATGGGGCTGGGCTGGCTTTCCTGTTACTGTGAGATGCTTTCCGAGTGGCGGAAGATGCACCTTCTAGGGCCTTGTATTCCCCTGCCAGTGGATGGGCAGTCCCATTCAAGTGTGCAGTCCCGGTGACAAGGAAGGGTTACTTGTTTCAGATCTTGCAATTTATGTTGCCGGATCCTGTGGTTATTGGCTCTGAAGTAAACCCCCTGAGTACATTCAGGCTGATTCCCAAGGAAGTGAGCCCGCAAACACGTTTGCACGCAAGTTCTCTCAAAGCCAGGAAGGCTTACTGGCTGAGGTATCCAGTGATTTTAATTCTTTTAAAAAACATTGTTTGTTTGCTAATTGCTAATTGCTATCTGTGTTGCACAGATGAAGGGAATCTGGAAACAGTGGTGAATAGCCGTTGGAAAGAATGGCAAAGGTTATGCCATTTGGTTTCCGGTAAAGATGCTAGGATAAATCTATTAGTGGGAATTTAAACATCCACTCTGCTTTTGCCCGGGCCTCATTCTCACTTGGTAGAGTGATATATTTATTCATTAGCAAGTGTTGACATAAGGTAGCAAAACTGTGTGTAAACAGAGAAAGCCACAGAACTTGAATGTGCCATTTTGAAAGGGAAAGTTCTCTGTATTGGCCAATGGGAAGTGATTAATGGAGCCAATCGGAAATGTTGGGGGGGGGGAGACCTTAGTTGCTCAACCCAAAGTCCCCCTCCCCTCTGCGAAGTCCATTTGGCAGTCGAACTCTGATATTGTAACACGTGGAACCATGGAGACAAAAATATCCCATAAGTCTGTCATTGCAGGTGGTTATTACAACCTCTGACTCCTATTTAACTTCCTGTTTAATCGAGGCCATTGTGAGGAGAGAGTGAATGAGTGAGTGATATACAGTGTCTGCATATCATTTGTCTTTCTGCTGCAAATGTCAGTTTCCCCTCTTTTCTGAATGTCTGTGTTTGTTGCTAACTTGGCGAAGAGGTAGAACTAGCTGTGTTTTAGAGTCACACGCCAGGAAGTTAGTGCTTCTGTCCTGGTTGTAGAAAACCATCAACTATATTAAGAAGAATGCTGATTGTTGCCTTGGATGAGTCTTTCCCAATCTGGTACCCTCCAGATGTTTAGAATAACGCCTCCTAGGGTTCCTGATCATTGTCTATGCCAGTTCAGATTCTTGAGAATGGAATCCCAAAACTTCGGTAGGGTGCAAGACTGGGAAATATTAGGGTTAGGGTTGCAACCTATTGCAATTATACTGAGTTTCATTCCCTTTCATTTTGAAGTACTCTCACTAAATGGGGTAAAAAGCCCGTCTAAATCTGCAGGTTCAGTGGGGGAAGACAGGGAAGCCTGTGCCACTCCTTCTGCCCTGCTCTGAATGAGCAGAATTCTCTGAATTTGGGAGATTCCAGTAACTGAGGATGCAAGGACTTGCATGGTCTTGCAGGACTTGCGTAGTCCTCCTGGGTGAGCAAATAACAGGTAGGTTGTCTATTGGCCTCTGCCTAAAGACTGTTGATCTTTCCTCCCACCCCCAGTTAAGTTTTTCCTGACTAAAGGAGAGGTTGATGGGCTTATTTTCACTTACCATGGTGCTGGAGGCTATCTGGTTTTCTTTGGGAAAAGAGGCAAGAGAGGTAATGGACTGGGTCAGGGCACCATCATGGCAGGAGAAACTGGATGCACGGAATCTTTGTATGTCAAAAAGTTTTAATTGGAGGGCCGTATGAGGACATCTTTGGTGGAACAGATTGCTGAACAAGATGGCTGCTTGTGATCTGTTGGTGTATTTAATTAGGGTCAATAAATATTAGCAATTGTGGGCTATGCACTGGTCAGGGTTAAAGTAGTAATCAAGGATGAGAATTTCAGAAAAATGATCTCATGTGAGAATCCACGAGTAGAAGTATTTCCTGAACAGTAAATTTGAACCATTGCATTTGCAAATATTCATGTCATAAAAATAATTTAAACTTTTAGGATTCAGCACTGGAGGGCCAAATTTAAACCAACTCTAAATGGAAATGAAACTTATTGGCTTAGGGATGTCTCAATGTTGTTGGATCTGGCAACACAAAATCTAGGGAAATTTTTCCTAGATGACATGCCTGTGGAGGTAGCTTGCCCATGGTTCTTTGCTCAGGTGGAAACATTCTAAGTGCCCCAAATCCAAATTGGTGCTTCGGAATCCAAAACCTTTTCCAGACTGTTCTTGATCTGGCTACTGACATCTGGAATTCCATTTGGGACAAAAATACTTGGATCCTGTGCTGTGGATTTGAATTGCATATGCCTCTGAATGATGTCCCTAATGGGGATAGACCTTTAGAAATATAAATTTAGAGAATCTTACAACAACCTAATAAGATAAGCAAATGTTTATCAACAGATTGGTTTTGTAGAGAGTTTAGGTAAGGCAAGTAAGTGAATCAGAAATGCTGTGTGTGGCTATCAAGAAAGAAATATCAATTTGTGGTGGTAGAAGGTTTTGCAGAGGTGGCAGGGAAAGGACTGGTTGCTGTTGTGTGTTCCAGAGGATGCTGTAGGGTTCTCTTGAAATCTGGTGTCAAATCACTGATAGACACACATTCATGTGTCATTTTATTCCTTTTGCATTTGATTATTCTAGAGTTGGTGGCTGGCCGCTGGATGTGTGGACCGGTCCCCAAAAAGGAATAATATATGAAGTGATACAGGAGTTCAGTTTGTGTTGTTAGGTCCCGTGTTAGGCGATTCACACATGTAAGACACCACTTCGTCTTGTAATAATCTTGAGAACGAACCTCGAAGTTTGGGAGACACATGGTACCGTCCAAGGAATTCCAGAGCACTGCACATGTTACTTTTCTCAATGGTGGAAGAGCGACGTGTGCCAAAGAGCTAGACTTGGAAAAGCACATGCACTAAGGAAAATCAACATGAATTCATTATTATGTTAGTTGGACCACAAATTTGCCTCTGAAAGTAGACTACTTAAATAAAGGCCATCACTTTTTTGAGCTACTGATTCAAATGGTAATTTTGTTTTGGGTATTGGCTGACACATTGAAAATAAGTGCATGCAAGTTTCTTATTCATGAAATCAAACTGTAGTGGAGCTAACTGAACTCCAGAGTAAGAAGAGGGGGTCTTTATACTAACATCTCATGTCACTGACAGCCTTTAAGGGGTAGAAGCAACATTTTTCAGAATGGTTGACTGGGAGAGGAAGGCTTACATTGTTTTGGCCTGGAATACAGTCGATATAAAAGAGTACAAATCGAGGGACATACCCTTTTGTGAACAGTAGCTCAGCTGGAAGGGATGAATGCTGTTGGCATGGACCTAGAGCAGCTTTCGCCGACTTGGTGCCTCCCAGATGTGTTGGAGCCTCTTTGCCCCTTCCACTTTGGAAGGTTAATCTAGAATATCCAACTTAATTGTTTCTGTCACACAGACTAGTAGTAATCTCTTGCCTATCCCATTTGTACAATTCATCCTATAGAATATTGCTGGTCTTTTGATGTATGTATCACATACGCATCCTGCCTTTCTGTTCAGCCCAGGGTGAGGTACATGACACGCCAGTTTCATTTTATCTCTGTGTTAGCCCTGCAAAGTGGGCTGGACTGGAAAATGAGGACTGGCCCAGGATCACCCAGTTTGCTTCCTGGCTGAGCAGGGCTCCGCTCCCTGGACTTTTTGGGCTGGGTTCCTCACACTATCTCATTCTTCCAGTGACTAGCTGTGGGCAGAGGAATGGCTATAACAATACGCTTTAGTGTTTCAAAGAACTGGGTCAGGTACTGGCGTTTGTTTCATTTTAATCTGTGGGTTGGATGGAGAGCATCTAGTATCCAACTCCTTTCCTCACTTAGCTGGTGTCTCTGTCTTCTATTCTCATTGGTTTCTGGAACTCAAAAAGGCAACTCAGACCTCATTTGGCAGGATGACCCTCTGTGCTGACTTAGGGGACTCCAAGCTGCATAACCTGAAGTATCAAGAAGGGGAAAGTGTGTATAGCCGTGCAGTATATACTGTATCCCATGTAGACCTAGGGCTGGAAATTGTATGGCACCAGGGAGCTTATTATGGGCACTCCATGCTTTAAGCACAGTTTCACTGTGTTCAGAGAAAAATCTTAATCTCTTCTACTTGGTTCCTGCTGGTGGAAGCTTCAAACCAGATGCTCTGCAGACAGAAAAAGCTTTCCACCCAAACCTGATCCTTGGACAAGCTGGGAATCATAAATGAAGAACAAAATCTGGTTCACTTTTCCAGCTTTGTGTACAAGCAGCAAAGTAGGAATCTTGGTTCAGGCAGAATGTGAATCTTGTACTTGCTGGTGAGTTCCTGCTTTCACCACTTCTGCTGAGAGGAGGAGTCAAGAGCAAAAACTCATGAAATGTAAACTGGGATTCTCTGGAATGTTGGCTTACCATTTTGTGCAAATGTCGCCATCGTTATCTATTGGATCCCCTTGTTCCCTCTCTAAAGTGATCCAGGCCTGGGTGAGAACTAGATTCTTGATAAGGCAATCTTTAAATGAAGCATTTGAAGCAGAACAAGATGAAAAGTGTCTCATTAAAAAGGGAGTTTGATTTCTTTCTTTCTTTTTAAGAAAGTTGTTTCCTTAAAACACAGAAAACACTGTACATTTAGAAAGTGTATCATATACAGTATTTTACAAGTAACTCAATTTCCTGTCTGCCCCATTGTTTTCAGTTTGATTAAGTGTATCCTGTTAAGCTTGTATATTCCTGTTCAGGGTTATACTTGACTCTGATAAAATGAGATTACGCAGGGTCATATGCACATATCACACACACACGCACGACTCTTTTTCAGTCTGTTCTGTGGGGTGAGTTCTTGGAAAACAACTTCGAGGGGTACCTGTCTTTCAGCATCTTTTTGCAGTTAATCATACATGCCCTAACTTTGTATAGTCATAAGCCAGGTTGGCAATTCATGTTTCAAAATCTGGCTCCGGAAATACTGAACAAGCAAACAAGTGGGCACATTTTAAAGAAACGTTTTGGAAAATATTGAAATGTGAATGCCTTCTTTCTCCTTTTTGCATTGTCAACTCGGTACCAGCTCAGCTCAGATTCCCTCTGATCTTGATCTACAGCTTAGGCATGGCAAGTTGGATTTCAATAAGGAGCCACTAGCAAGAAAACAAAGCCCGCCCAACAAAAGAAAGAGGGCTGGGGGTGGGGAGAGATGATTCCAGCCAGTCTATAATCTTGTGCTCATTGACTAATGTGATTAAGTGGCACACTGGAGCCTAGACATGGGTGATGAGTTAGGGTGGATATATCATGAAGAATTGCACTGTCTCTGTGCAGACAATTAGTAATAACTTCCTACTAAACCCTGAGGAATGTGCTTCATTTGGCTGGAGACATTGTTTGCAGTGAACTCTGTTTTTTTAGGTGGTACGTCATGCTTATTTCTTAATTCATTTCCCTTTTCTGTTGCAGCAGGTTGTCCAGATTCTGTGCCTTCCTCCACTGAGACAGGGGGAACTAATTATCTGGCCCCTGGGGGGCTTTCAGGTAAGAAACAGGATTTCACTTGTACCTGTGCTGATGTACATTTTAAAAAACACACACACGTGTAGAAGGCTCAGCCTTCAGTGCCTTAGAAGGCGGCTGCTGCAGTGGTGAACAGAGTAATTTGCAGTGCTGTAGCATCCTAGAAGGGGAGGAGGTCCCACTGGGAATTAGTGGCATGGATCCAGCTAGCACCCAAGAACTGAGGTTTCTGGGAAGCAGGAGGAATGGAGTTGTCCGAACCTTTCCGATAGATGATGGATCTCCAGTTGTCAAGCACTAGATGGTGGTGGAAGGAATCTGAACCCCCATCAGATGCCTCGAATCAGTTAAGTTTCTTCTTTGGTTGTTGTCTAACGAGCTCAGACATAATTTCATAGAATGTTACAACCACAACTGGTAACAACTATTTTAGGCTCCTGTGAATTTAACACCTGATCTTAGGTATGCTGCATGCACAGGGCTGAAAAGCAATTTTGTTTTTGTGGATATCAGTCTCTTACCCCTAGGAAGTCAAGTGAACAGTTTATTTGGATTTTCCAGGCTTTGGTGACCACCAAATATTGCTTGTGCAAGATTTTGCTAATGCTAGCTGGCTAGCTAGGGCCAGAATGCCTCCAAGGTAACATACATATACTTAGCATCCTCCAAATGGCAGCTTTCAAACAAATCTAAATAATACATAATACGATTTCTTTAAAAAATTATGTGGAGTGTCCTTCTCAAACTGGTGCTAGCCAGCTGCTTTGTGTATTACTGCAAACTTTTATGCACAGTGTTTTATGATCCTAGGCTGAGCCTTTCTGGCTGTAGTGGCAGCAAGAAGCATGCCATTTGCACCCGAATATATCCAGTGTTAAGCACTGGTTATAATCCTAGACAAAGGCTGCTGGTAGACTGGCGACTCCAGCACAGCACTTAGCTGAGGGCACTAACTACTTACATGATTTATGTACAGAGAGCTAAATTATATGCTGTCCCCAGGATGGGTGTGTCAGAACAGACTCCTGCTTTTTGTAAGGCTGCAAGTTCAGGCTGGATTTTGGTGATCGAGGTAGGGTGTAAGACATTTTGGTGGTTTATAACTTGATGCATGTATAGATGCATGTACCTGAAAATGGCCAGATCCCTGGGGAGAATATGAAAAAGAGAATCTTCAGACACCGCTTCTGAGGAAGAAGCATGAAAGGTCTGGCTTGGAAAGCTGTTGTCCTCCAAGATCCCTTTGACTTCTAACTTCCTTGTAATGTTTATGGCTGCAATTCATGCGCAGTTAGAGTGCTTAAATCCCATCAGAATCTGTACAGCCCAGCCTTTTACTCTTCTAGGAAGTGACTTTATGTGAAAAGCCATCTTGTCTCGCTTTCCTTCTATTTGTGAGACGCTGCCTCTTGGAATGCCAAGCACAGCCCCTAAAATGTTATTATTTTTTATTTTTTACAAATGCCAAAACAATACCTGTCTGGGCTCATGCACCTTTTGGAAGGTTATTTTCCTTTGCCCAGGTTTTCCTGGCTTGATTTATGGTTTGTGGAATGGTTGTGCTCCATTCATTAGGCTATGTCTGGAATGTTGGGCTATGTCAGCTCTCTTCTAAGTGTGCGTTTCTCTCCAGGAATTATATTCAGCATGACTGTATTTACGTGAACCTTGTTTGCTTTCCTTTCAGCATAATATATATCCTGCCTGTGTTATTTGAGAGGGGAGGATTCTGTTTGTTCAAAACACCTTAATGAGAATTAATCAAATGAGCAGGAGAAGAGGGAACGATTCGAGGACCAAGTTAAGGCTGCCCTTTCTCCTCTCTCTTCTTTTAAAGCGAGCTTCAGTTCTAATTGTTAAACTGGGCAGGCCTTCTTGGAAAGCTGACCTTATGGAAGAAACAAAAATGTCAGTTTCAAACCGAAAAGAACGAATTAGAACAATACAATAGGGATGTTAGGTGATTTAAAGGAGGAGAAAAAATTGAAGTATGCAGGAGGGTGGGGTTCCGCAGGATACCACATGAAATAGCTTTTAAAGGGAGCCTCTTTTTGAAATGTCTGTACATTGATAGCATCTTGATCTGTCTGATCTGCTACTGAAAGGGAGGGAAAGAGGGGCCGCGAGAGGAAATAACATAGCGTGCCTGTTGGTGGAATGCTTTCGTAAAGGGCTCTCTAGGTAACAGATAGAATTAGTACAAGGTGCTTTCAGCCAGGGTCTCTGGCAACTGTGCTCAGCACTCAGAGCTCCTTGAAGTAGGTCCAATATTTCTGCTGTGTTGCTTTAGTGAGTCAGAGCTTTAGAGGGTCAGAGAGTAAAATTCCCCCAAATAAAAGGAGAATCTTTTAAGAACGTGTATTATTTTTACTTCATACTTTGTAGATGCTCAGTTTAAGGAGGGAAGGGGGATGTTTCAGCTCACAAAGGAAATCGTAAGCTACATAAGCTCTGAAACAAAAGCTGAATGTCACCACACGAAAGAGCATTTGTTTTGAATTTTGCCTGATTTGTTATTAACCCCACTGCAAACCTCTGAACATTTCCTAACTGGAGAGACTGCAGAAAGTCAGAAAGAAAACATAAAGGGCACTATATGGCTGCAGTTCAGTGTTTTTGAAGTTCTATTGATTTCAGTGGCGGGGCTTTTAGCACATGCTTAATTCGGAACTCATTGAAAACATAAAGTGCTTAAAGGTGCTTAACTTTGGTTGGATGGTGCCCAGGGTTTCTACAGTTTTCCTAAGCCAACTTTCTTTTCTCTTTAAACATTTGAGATAGCTCATTGGAGAGAGTGTTTAAACAGGACTTTTAACGAGCTGTTGTCAGGAGCATTTAGGATGCTATTTTTATCTGCAAGGAAAAGTCCTAATAACTAAGTTTAAATATGGGATGATTCACAGAAAATTACATGTGCTCCTTCCTTTTCTCTCTTTCCTCTCAATGTATTTTTTAAAAAAGATAAATCAGTTGCCTTTGCACCTTTTCCCAAGAGACTGTGAGATGGCTTCTGCAAGTTATTAACTGCCACCTTGAGGTAGAAAGAGTTGCTGGGAGACCTTTTTTACTGATAGGTGGTGCACCTCACAGATGAACGATGACGTAAAATAAGAGCAGATTTACATATTACACTTTAGAAAGGCATAGAGCAGATGATTGGAAGGCCAGAATTATATATGTTAGGGTGCTTTTTGCACACGGAAAGGGAAATACATGGAACAAAGCATTAATGGTGGAGTTCTCCATGGAGATTTGCTGTTCATAATGATTCACCATCACTCAAGGGAATGGCCACCAGCTCATTGGGCAAATTCATGGAGGACAAGCCTGCTGTGTAGCCATTAAACCTAACAACTAATTGGAACTCTGAATCTCACTTGCGTGGTAGCAGGAGAAACCATGAACGATCGCAATCCCATTCGTTCCTTGCTTGTGAAATTTTGCAGCCCTCCCACTGGCCACTCCGGATGATAGTGTTGGAATGGATGGGCCTTGCTTGCATTTGGCAAGACTGTACCTGCCTCCTCCTCAAGATGAATTTCTTGGGTGTACATAATGTGAAAGGAACATTAGCACGTGCCTGCATTTTAGCAGGCACACATGGGTCTGAAATGCATAACTGCTGAGATCAAAATGGGTTGGATCCAGACTTAGTCACGCTTAGAGTAAACCTGCTGAAAGAGATGGGAGTCAGTCAGTCATGACTTTTGTTAGTTTCAGTGGGTGTACTCCAAGCATAACAAAGTAGGGAACCTACGCCATGCATTGATGAGACTTCTCACACAGACTCTTTTAAAGAGTGCTGCCTGGCTGTTTCGGGACAGGGGAAAAGGGTGATTTTGTGAACTTTCATTAGCCTAGTACCTTGCCATCTGATTGTCCGTTTGTGCAGCAAAATATGGAATGACTTCCAAAGTCATCTTGTGTTGTCCAAGACGGAAAGGTTTCTGGCTCTGGAATATGGCTTGTTATCTCTTTCTAACAAGTGCTATGCAGTCATCAAAGTCGAGGGATCTTAAAGATTTTTGGTTGGCCAAAGCTGTTCTGTGAGACTCAGGTGCAAGAGATCATGATTTGTTGTAGTGAGACGTCAAACCAGCTCACCCCGTTTCCCCATTCCCTCTGTTTCTACTGGGTATTAACTGTTAAGAGGGCATCTTGAAACGGTGGGAAGCAAAACGGTGTGTTTCGTGTGCGTGCACACGCGTGCATAATTTACCCGAAGAATTCAGAAGGGCTTAGTGTTTGCTTTAAGGGATGCCTTTTAGAGCTGCAAAATTATTTCATTCTGCGTCGTGTGTCTGCAAGTACTTTCCCTGCTGAATGCCGAAGGTGTGTGGCTAAAGTTGCCCAGAGGATGTGGGAGAGTGACCAGCATGGAATGATGAGAGAAATACATGTGGGGGGAGAGGGAGAGGGAGAGAGACGCTGCCCAAGTGTTTCCCCCTTGAAAATAACCCATCTAAGTCTGTCTTTCACTTGTTATGTTTGCTGTTTTCCTTCCTGGCTTCATTGGAGTTGCGTGGTTCCAGCTAATGAATAAGGCTCAGTTCAGGGTGGGAGGAAGGCCTGGAGCCTGGAGCCAGTGACTTGATTCTTTTGGCAAGGGAAGAAAAAGAGAGAGAGAGAGGGAGACAGAAATATGTGTGTGTGTGTGTGCGCGCGCGTGGAGCTGAATGCAAAAACTTAATCCTGTGGGGGTCCGCGCGAAGGAACTGGTTCCGCCAGAAGTGACCTTTAATTTACTCGGTGCTGCCCCTTTGTGTCATATGTGGCATTCGGAGGGGGGGAAGCAAGGAGGAAGAGGGTGGGAGGGTAATCCGAGGGCTTTGGAGGAGAGGAGGGAGAGAACCTGGACTGACTGGCCAAATTAAGTTTCTAGGATCTAGTTTTAACTATGTTTTCTTAAAGGAGGATCATTCCAAAGGCTAAAACCTCAACAGAGAAATGCAGGGAGTAAGTATGTGGCTTGGATCTATTTTTTTCTCCTTCCATCTCAGCTAATCCTTGTCTCCTGAGGG